CAAAACCAATTCCTCTTCCTTCCCCTGTCCTCCACCCCCAATACACAGCAAAACCTCAGTGTTGGTCAAACTGATTTTAATTCCTGGCAACCCGGATGAGTGTTTCAGCGTAAGAGCTGTGCCCCTGCTTTCATTGACTGCGTTTTTAAGAAGTGGCTTGCCAGGCCTTTTTTCTGAGGTGCCTCTGGGTGGAGCGTGCCAGTTGACGAATCTGCACCCCCCAGAGACTTCTCCCCCTGCTCCCACCCCGACACTGAAAGAGTGGTGGGCGGTACTTCACCCTCTGAGCTCATCCACAAACTGCGCCCCAGAGTATTCGGTGACTGTGCCTTTGGGCACATTCTTCTCCAGCCAGACCAAGTACCGGATGACTACCACGGCATCTCGAACCTGGAGGAGGGGAAGCAGAGAAGCCGGCTGAGGTGCGGGCTCGGCCTCGGGGATCGGGGAGGATGGAGAGCTGGAACCTGGAGCTCTCAAACCATGCCGGTTGACTGTTGGTTGACATTAACTAAGGGAATGAGTCTTAAGGCTTCCCCTCAGGCTCAGAGTGTTGTAGTTGTGTTTCAAACCCGCCCTTATCTCGGTGGTTCTCCACCCTCCTCCACCTTTTAAGACAGTTCCTCATGAGGTGGTGAGCCCCCCAACCATAACATTATTTTGGTTGCGACTTCATCACTGTCATTTTGCAACTGTGATGAACTGGGCGACCCCTGTAAAAAGGTTGCTTGACCCCCAAAGGGGTTGCAACCCGCAGGTGGAGAACCTCTGCCTTATTCTGCGGAGCGACAGACCACAGTGTTGAGGAACAAAGGAGACCCCGCCTGCTGTTTGCTTGACAATCCGCCAGCCAGAAGAGCATGGGGGTGGAGGAGGTGATTGAAGAAGAAACTGGGTTGGCTATGAATTGATGGGGCAGTACCACGTTGAATCCGGGTGGTGGTGAGTACCTGGGCATTTACGATGTGATTTGTGTCTGCTTTCTTAAGTGTCGAAAACTTTTTTCTATAAGGTTTTAAATAGGAGGTGGCTTATTCTGGTTTCTAAATGAGTCTCTGGATAGTGCCAACTGTTAAGTGCTTGGCAGCCAGCTGACGGGTTGTGGTTTGAACCCACCCAGAAGTGCCTGGTGATCAGTTTCCGTAAAGATTGAAAAAGAAAAGAAAATGAACAAACTCACTGCCATCAAGTTGAGTTCAACTCCTAGCAACCCTATAGGACATGGTAGACCTGCCCCTGTGGGTTTCTGAGGCTGTGCATTTTCCCAGGAGTAGAAAGCCAGCTCTTTCGCGGAGTAACTGGTGGTTTCGAACTGCTGACCTTGTGGGTTAAAGCCCAGCGCGGAACCCACAAGCCCCTAGGGCTCCTGGAAAACCCCACGGAGAAGTTCTACTCAGAAACACAAGGGGTCGCCATAAATCGGAGTGGACTTGAGGGCAGAAAACAACAACACTCCCGATTTTCACAGAAATATCAAAATGTGCCAGCCAGCCTCTCAGGGGTGGGATGAGGAAGTCATCACTGTGAGGGGAGCATGGAATTTAACACATGAAAGGCACCAGGGGCTGCTCAGACACTCTTTGTCTATCAGGCCTCACAGTAGCCCTGTGCTATAGAGTCAGGTGATGATCCCTGTGTTTACAGAGGCGTTCCCTGTGGCTTAGAGAGGTGGCTTGGCTGGCCCCAGGTCCCCCAGCTCTGTAGTGGGTGAAGTGGGGCTTTTAACTCCCTGAACCTTTCTGTCTTGCACTGTGAATAAGCGGAGAGCAGGAGTTTGGTGGCCAGGTCTTTGTTTCATGACCAGTCTTGTTTGGGCTGCTCGGGAAGGATTTCCTTTTCCACCCAGCAGACTGGTGGCTCCAAGGGACTCTGCACGTGCACTTACATGGCTGGCTTTGAGGAGAGCTTGCTCCCTGCTGTTTTTCACCGCCTTGGTCATCATCACTGGGGAGTAAGTGTCTGCCACGAGTTTCTCCTGTCAGGGGCCGAGAGGAGGGAGGTGAAGAGAAGGCGCGGGAGTGCACTCTCAGGCATGGCCCAGTCTAGGGTAACCTGGCCATTCCCTAGAGTGGCAATGGCCTAGCCTCCTGTGCTTTCTAGTTCTGTGGGCTCTGCCAGGTCCCAGGTAGGCCTCCAGGGAGGTTTCCTTGATTGTGGTTGCTGCTTGGCGGCTCAATCCTTGCCCTTGAATCCCAAGGGCTGTGGGGGGATGGAGCCTTGCCGTGGGCTGCCTCATCTATGGGCTGCTCTGTTGGTGCCACTATTGCCATTTTATGGATGAAGAAATCGAGGCCCAGCCAACTAAGACTCCTGTCCAAGGTAATGGCACAGCCGTTTGGGGGGTTGGGGTGGGGGCAGACTGGCTGCTTCCAAAGCCTCTCTCTCCATGGAGGCTTGCCCTAGGGCAAGACCTCTTTGTGTGTCCACAAGTCTGCTAGTCCTTCTTTTGTCTCTCTTCCATGGAGCCTAGAAGTGACCTTACTGCACAGTAGTTGACTGATCATATGGCCACGAGGGTCTGGCCCCACTTCAAGGCTGGCAGGAGTGCCTGGCACTGACCGTGGGTATCACTTCATAGAGCCCGTAAGTGGTATAGCTGGTCCCAATCCATATCCTCACGCTTCCTGAGGCATAGGACTGGACGCTGTCGCGAACTTGGCTGTAGTCCTCAATTTGTACACACATGGCCCCTGTGCAGCTGGCGTTTAGGTACTTCAGCGTGTCAGCACTAAAGCGACTCTTGTTTGCAAATAGCCTAGGGAAGGGAGGGAGGGAAGAGCGGGAAGATCCTGAGGGCCTGTAGGGCTCACACGAGGAGTACCGACCCCTGGTTGCTGCAGGCACTGAGTTCAGGGGCAGCCTCAAGGCTGCAGAGGAGGGGCGGGGTGGGGGGTGGGGGTAGCAGGGCAGCAAGGAGGTGGAATTTGGAGGACGTCCCTGGCAACAGGCCAGGGGAGAGTTGTACCTGATGGTGGAATCCGTGAGCAGCACGTAAGAATAGAAGAAGGGGTTGTAGGGGATGTCGCTGCTGCGCAGGTTGAAGAGCCCTGGGGAGGAGGGTGGATGGGAGGTGATAGGTAATCTGCCTGAAGCTGCATTTCCAAGCCCCCACCCCTGCCCCTGGAGTGTTTCTCAGTCTCTTTGGGGTCTTTGGGAAGTTGGTGAGAGCTATGGACAATGTCCCTCAGCAAAAGGCAAATACCAGGCCAGCAGGCTGCTCCCACCCAGGCTCAAGGGGTTCTTAGAGTCCCCCAAACCCAGCCACGGGGGCCAGGCAAGAAGCAGCCCGTGCCAGGCTGGGACAGAGAAGGGACACTTGAGACAGAGGTCAAGCTGTTGGGAGGAATCTGCAGGTCCCTCACCCTTCATGAGATGAAGCATTTGGCCACCATGGTCAGTCAGCCTACGCTCTGGTGGCCCCGGACCAGCCCCAGCTTGGCCCAGCACCTTAGTTTCCTTATTCTGCACACTTTCTAAGTTCACCTTCACCTTCTCAATTCCCACAGGCCATAGCCCCGGAGCTCTCCGGAATGTGCGGCCAGATGACTGCTTCACGCGGAGTCCACCCAGGCCCAGAAATCCAGACTCACAGGCTGTCTCATCAAGCGCGGACAGAAGGACGGCCGTCGGGGCCCTGCGATGCTTCTGCATCTGACTCCGGATGCCAGAGATCTTCTCCTGCCAGGTGCTCCCTAGAAGCAAGCGTGCTCAGAGACCCAGGTGGCCACACACCCTCCAGCCCTTCCCTTTGACATTCTGTTCAAAGGGCAGCTCCTTTGTTGTTGTTGTCATTGCTAGCTGCCACCAAGCCAATTCCACCTCACGGGGACCCAATGTGTTACAGAGTAGCACATTCTTGCTCAGTACCCCTAGTGGGTTCAAACCACCCACCTTTAGCCTAGGAGGGCTCGCTCAGGGCAGTAGTGTTTTTTAAGCAGCAGAACTCTTTCTTCAAACAAACTTTTGCTTGTGTGGTTGTTAAGGACGGAGGCTCTATAGCCAGACAGGGTTCCAGTGCAGCCTCTGTCATCACTAGCTGACCAGCTGGGGACCAGCTACTTAACTTTGCTGTGTGTCACATTTCCCCTTCTTTTAGTGTAAATCATATGTAGTTTTGAGTAGTGCACCTAGTTCGAAATCCTACAGGTACAGAAGAGCTGCACAGGAAAACAAAACAAAACAAAGTCCTTCTTCCTTGACCTCAAGGCAGCCTGCCCTCTCAGAGACCACCAACGTCTCTGGGTCTGATTCCACTTCTCAAGGTTCTTTAATGCACTTCGAAGCAAATGCATTGGATACAGAGGGGTTTTGAAAAGTTTGTAGAAAAATGGAACGAAAAAATAATGGAATTTATTCAAAACTTTTGAAGGCCCCTCATATTTTCTTTTCTTTCTTTTTATAAAGAAATCATTTTATTGGGGGCTCTTACAGCTATTATAACAACCCATACATCCATTTTACCAAGTACATTTGAACATATGTTGCTGTCATCATTTAAAAAATATTTTCTTTCTGTTTGAGCCCTTGGTATCAGCTCCTCTTTTTTTCCCCTCCCTCTCCCACGCTCCTACCCTCATGGACCCCTCATTAATTGTAAATTGTTATTATCTTCATATCTTACACTGCCCACTGTCTCCCTTCATTCATGTTATTGTTGTTCATCCCCCTGGGGAGGGGGGGATTGTGCATCATTGTAATTGGTTCTCAGTTTTTCCCCCTTCTCAGGCCCCTCATATTTTCTTAGCCCCCATCTCCTGTGGTTTTTACTGTGGTCAAATACATTTAACATGAATTTTGCTATTTTAAGTATACAGCTAATCAGGACTCATTATATCCCCAATGTTGTGTAACTCTTCTGTGCCTCTTTTTCTGAAAATGAAGATGGATTATAATACAAATATTACCTCAGTGAGGAGCCCTTATGGCATAGAAGGTTAAGCATCAGGCTGCTAACCACAGGGGAGATTCTATTCTGTCCTCAGAGGTCGCTGTGAGTCAGAATGGACTCAGTGCCGGTGAAAGTGAGCTTTATCACCTCAAGCGGGTTGTTCTGGGGATCAAATGAAATCATATTTGTAAAGCAGGTAGAATGTTATCTTGGACGTGTAGTTGTGGTTAACTGCCGCCGAGTCTGTTATCACTCACGGCGAGCCCGTGTGTGCAGCGTGGAACTGCTCCATAGGGTTTGTGCAACTGTTGCTTTATCTGGTGGTGGTGGTGGTTGTGAGTGTACACAGCAGGACAGATGCGAACTCCACAACTTCTACCTGTGTTGTGCAATCACTCTCCCTCTTTGAGTTGTTGCTGTCAATCTTATTCTAGAGAGAGAGTTCTTAAAAGAGCATAATGTTCCAGACAGACATTCTTTACTAGTTAAGCTAAAGCATCATTTGATTTTAGGAAGACTTCAGGAGGATATTTTTGGTTTAAGATTTAAAGAGCATCTCAGGGCAATAGTCCCAGGTGTTCTTCCACCTTTCATGAAGAACAGAGAGTCTGGATTCCCTGAGAATTTAAAGTTCCATTCTGCATTTACCCCTCTTTGATCAGGATTCTTCTGTAGAATCTTTGATCAAAATATTTGGTATAAGGGGAGAAGGGAGGGAGCACTACAACAGATTGTGATCACATAGCTCATCTTAAAGGCTATTTAAGGGGGGGAGGCGATGCTCTAAAATTGATGTGGGGGTAATTGTACAATTCTCCTTGATATGATTAAATGATTGAACCATTGAATTTATCATATGTGTTACTTGCCAATAAAACTGTTGGAAAAAATATATATATATATTCAGTTCTCACAGTAGCTCATGGCTGTTCATGCAGTTTTTAAGACTGTAATTATCCAAAGTGCTGCTGAGTGAGTTGGAACAGCTAACCTTTCAGCTAATAGTTGAGTACTTAACCATTTCAATCTCCCTGACTCCTGGGTATAGAGTAGTTTGGTATAAATTTTTTGATCAAGAAAAAAAGTACTTGGAACAGATATCAGGAAAACCCTTTAAATTCAAGGGCAAAAGAATAGGCCTGAGATCATGTTCAAGCCTCTGCCCAGCAGCAAGTCCATTGTTTTAATCCTTGTACCATTTTGCAGATATGAAGCGGAGGCTTCAGAGAGGTCAAGTGACTTGCAGTGTGTGTAAATAGGCTCCTCTTAGGCACAATGGGTTAAGTGTTGAGCTGCTAACTACAATATTGGTGGTTCAAATCCACCAGCTGCCCCGCAGAAGGAAGATGCAGCTACCTGCCCCTGAAAGATTCTTAGTCTTGGAAACTCTGTATAGGGTCACTCGCTATGAGTTGGAATTGAATCGATGGCAGTGGGTTTTTTTGTTTTGTTTTTATGGTTTTGGGTTTGGCACGGCTTGGGGATTTGCTGGCAGGAGGTCATAGGCATTAAGGGTCCTAGTTGGTCCTCCCCTGGTGGCATAGCGGGTTACATGTAGGGCTGCTAATCACAAGGTCAGCAGTTCAAAACTACCAGCCAACTCTTCAAGAGAAAGACAAGGCTTTCTATTCTTGTACAGAGTTACAGCTACAGATACCCACAGGGCCAATTCTACGCTAGCCGTATAGGGTCACTATGAGTTGGGACTGACTTGATGGTAGTAGGTCTTAGAGTTGGTTACCCCTCCCCCAAATCAGTTGCCATCTGGTTCATTCTGACTCACGGGGAACCCATAGGGTTTTCAATGGCTGGTTTTGAAGAAGACCGTCCTGTGTCTTTTCCAAGATGCCTCCTGGGGGAGACTCAAACCTCCAACCGTTGGCTTAGAAGCCAAGTGTTTCACTGCTTGCTCTATTCAGGGACCTAGCTGGGCCACTAGATTGGCCTAAATGGTCATTTAAGACTATTTAAAAATAATTTTTTTGCAAACTGATAAAATTATTCAATAAGAATCCAAGCTTTGGGTATAACACATTTTTCTATAGTTGATTTGCTTCATTGTGGTATAAGACCAAGCAACAAAACTATCTTAAACTATACAGTTTAGTGGTTGGTTATTTTGTTTTGTCAATTGTCAAGGTTGCACAATCATCACCACGATCTAGTTCCAGAACTTCCTTATCATCCGAAAAGTAAACCCCACACCCAAAAGCAGCCAACTCTCCACTCTCCCTCAAGACCTCAAACCAAACTCACTGCCAGCGAGTGGATTCTGACTCACAGCCACCCTACAGGACAGAGTCGAATTGCCCCTGTGGGTTTCTGAGACTGGAACTGTTTACGGGAATAGAAAGCCTCACCTTTCTCCTACCAAATGGCTGGTGGTTTGAACTGCTGGTCTTGTGGGCAGCAGCCTAACGTGGAGCCCACTCAACCACCAGGGATCCTCAAGACTCAGCAACCATTAGTCTCCTTTTTCTCTCTCTAGATTTGCCTATTCTGGGCAGTTCATAGCAATGAAATCATACAATATGTGGTCTTTTGTGTCTGGTTTCTTTCACTTTGCATAATGCTTTCAAGGTTCGTGGGTGAGATACATTTTGGAGAAAACAAATGAAGCCAAGTTTCTTGGGTCTAATGTAGACAGGTCAGCTTTGAACTAACTTTCCATGTGCCTTCTTTGGTCCGTTCCCCACTTCGAAACCCGTGAGGGGTTGGCTGGCGAGAAATCTTCATTCACTCCTTCATTTGAGCTCTCTCCTTAGGCTTCCAAGTCTAGTTCTGGCTCCGGATGGCTCTCCCTGGAAGACTAGCAGTTTGTGACTGCTCGGCATCCCTCATTTGTGGGAAGTGACAAACCCCAGATGGATTCTCCTCAGCCTCAGCAAGATGCTCCCCCTGGGTCCTGTCCCTTTCCAGGCAGCGTTGTGACCTTTTAATCTGAATGAATGAGATGAACTGTGTGTGTGTGTGTGTGTGTGTGTGTGTATTAAACAGTCTTGGGTAATAAACTTCTTTTAACATTTCGGCAAGATGCAAGAAGGGAAAAAAAAACATGCAAGAAGGAAGAATCCTTCATTTATTATACCAGAAGAGATAAAGATATTTTAGTGTATTTCATCATAACCTGCTATTTTGAAATGCCCCTTCTGCCTTTTGGACCTTTTGGACCCCTTTTCGAACAAGACATGCGCATGGGATCTGAGTGCCGAAAGGGGCCTTCTGGATTGGCCAACGATAGTACCAGGACTCCAAGTCTCCTGGTTGTTTTAGAATCCCACAAAGGGATTTACGATGTAGGTGCATGGTGCCAATGAGGTTGGTAAGGAGCCCTGGTGGTGGAGTGGTTACATGCTGGGCTACAAATTACAGGGTTAGCAGTTCAACTCCACCACCTGTTCCTTAGGAGGAAGAGGAGGCTTTCTACTCCCTTAAAGAGTTAGAGTCTCAAAAACCCACAGGGGCAGCTCTACTCTGTCCTATAAGGTATCGAGTAATGAGGCTGTTGATGTAAGATTTTCCTGGGTTAGTTAACTCTTTTTCAATGTCCAGTCAAAACCTGAGCCCTCATTGGCGACCCAGACTGAGCTCTGGTCCTGTCCCACACTTAGTCCCTCTACTCCCTCTGTCCACTTCTGGCCCATCTGACCTTGGTCATCTCATAAATCGGAATGCCTTGTCATAGGAGGGACCACAAGTGATTCACTACACACCCGTCTCCACGAGTAGAAAAGCAACTCATCTCATGTGGCTTCTCACATCAAAGGGTATTTTCTTTTCATTTCTCATGGACTCCCTCCTTCCCTCCCTTCCTGTTCCCTAGCACTTCACATCCCAACGTTCTTTTGTTTTGTTTTTGTTTTTTTTAAATCATTTTATTGGGGGCTCGTGCAACTCTTATCACAATCCATACATCCATCCATTGTGTCAAGCACATTTGTACATTTGTTGCTCTCATCATTCTCAAAACATTTGCTTTCTACTTGAGCCCTTGGTACCAGCTCCTCATTCCCCTCCCCCCATGAACCCTTGATAATTTATAAATCAATATTACTTTGTCAAGTCTTACAGTGTCCAACGTCTCCCTTCACCCACTTTGCTGCTATCCATCCCCCAGGGAGGGGCTTATATGTAGATGCTTGTAATCGGTTCCCCCTTTCTCCCTCACCTTCCCTCCACCCTCCTGGTATCGCCACTCTCACCACTGGTTCTGAGGGATTCATCTGTCCTGGATTCCCTGTGTTTCCAGTTCCTATCTGTACCAGTGTATATCCTCTGGTCTAGCCAGATCTGTAAGGTAGAATTGAGATCATGATAGTGGGGGGGGGGGGGGGGGGGGGGGCATTAAAGAACCAGAGGAAAGTTGTGTGTTTCATCGTTGCTACACTGCACCCTGACTGGCTCGTCTCCTCTCCGTGACCCTTCTGTAAGGGGATGTCCAGTTGCCCACAGATGGGCTTTGGGTCACCACTCTGCACTCCCCCTCATTCACAATGATAGGAATTTTTTTCTTTGATGCCTGATACCTGATTCCGTTGACACTTCGTGATCACATAGGCTGGATCCCAACATTCTTTATTCTAGCATTTTCCCCAAATATGGTCTCAGGGCCTTTTGACTCAGACTTTCAGAGGACAAACTCTAAAACCCAAAGTCAGTACCACTGAGTCGATTCCGACGCACAACGGCCCTACAGGGCCAGGGTGCAGCTAACCTCTGGGGGATTTCTGAGACTGTATATCTTTACAGAAACAGGCAACCTCATCTCTCTCCTGAGGAGTGACTGGTGGGTTTGAATTGCTGACCTTGAGCTAGGCTCTTAAAGGGAAGATAGAAAAGGAGATGATTTCTCTAAAATGGGGATGACTAAGAGCATATTTGAAAGTAAAGCTCATTTGTCAGCCGGGAGCGAAATGATGACTATTAAAGGAAAACTAGAAGCTAATGACCAAGAAAAATCCTAAAAAGGCAAGGTCCTTTGTGCCAAAAAAACGATGTTACTCTCTCTAGGGCAGTGGCTCTCAACCTTCCTCATGCCGCGACCCTTTCATACAGTTCCTCATGTGGTGGTGGTGCCACCCCAACCATCAAATGATTTTTGTTGCTACTTCATCACTGTCATTGTGCAACTGTTATGAATTGGGTGGGCCCTGTGAAAGGGTCGTTCGACCCCCAAAGGGATCACGACCCACAGGTTGAGAACCGCTGCTCTAGGTCATCATGGTATTTACTTTATCTCCTTTGGACATGTTGTCAGGAGAGACCAGTCCCTGGAGAAGGACATCCTGCTTGGTGAAGAACATTCTGCTTTATGAGGCTTATAAGTAGCAAACTAAACTGACTGGGACCAGGCTACTGATTCTGAATCAGTGTCTTGGTCTCCACCACTCCCACCTCCCTGGGATTCTAAAACAACCTGGAGACTTGGAGTCCTGGTACTATCATTGGGCACCCTTTCTGCACTCAAGATTCCATGCCTATTTCTTGTTCGAAAGTGGTCCAAAAGCTGTAGGGGCCGCCCCACCATGAGACATGACTTCCCTTCACTGACACACAGCGATGCAGGGGACAGCACTGGAGACCCAGTGCTGGAATTGTGCCCTGTCTGACCACCCCCACCTCTCATACACACACTTGGGTGAAACACAAAGGGAGTGCAACAGAGCAACAAGGGGAGGAAAGCAACGAAGTCCCCAAGGAATCCCCAAAATAGACTTTAGTCTCAGAGGGCAGGGCTTGGCACCTCATCAGATGATCAGAAAACATACATTAGGGCCAGCAGACAAACCTGGAACTATTTATAGGCCTCCCCCGCCTTTCTTTTTTTCATGTCTATCCATGTAAGATAGGCAAGATAAACAAATCCAAGGGGAAAAAAAACGGGACCAACGGTTCCTGGGGGACAGGGGAGAGGGGGAGGTGGGGGAAAGGGAGGGGGGAGCCAACAAATTCAGGGACAAGGGAACAACAAGAGATCTAAAATCGATGGCGAGGAGGGTGCAAACCAGGTGGGGTTTGACCACATGCAATGTAGCCAAGAGGAATTAATGAGAGCCAAATGAAGGCCAAACATGATAGTACGAGAAGAGGAAAGTAAAAGGAAATAGAGAAAAGAAGTAGGAGGCAAAAGACATTTATAGAGGTATAAATATAGGCATGTGTATATGCAAATAAATTAATATATAGGGATATAGGCCTATGTACATATATTTATATGTTAAGTACCAAGGTAGCAGACAGACATTGGGCTTCTACTCAAGTCCTCCCTCAACACAAGAACACTTTGTTCTCATAACGCAGCATTCTGTGACACAATCGGTGAAGTCAAAATGGGTGTATAAGCAAATGTGGTGAAGAAAGCTCATGGTGTCCGGCTATTACAAGATATAGCATCTGGGGTCTTGAAGGCTTGAAGTTAAACAAGTGGCCATCTAACTGAGAAGCAACAAAGTCCACATGGAAGAAGCACAACAGCTGTGTAATCACGAGGTGTAGAAGACGGGATCAGTATCAGGCATCAGAAGACCCAAAACAAACAATCATATTGATGCGAACAAGGGGAGCTCAGAGTGGAGACCCAAAGTCCATCTGTAGACAATTGGACATGGCCTCACAGAAGGGTCACAAGGAAGGGATGAACCAGACAGAGTGCAGTAATAGCACCAATGGAACACACAACATTCCTCTAGTTCTGTGGTTCTCAACCTTCCTAATGCCGCAACCCTTTAATGCAGTTCCTCATGTTGTGGTGATCCCCCCCAACCATAAAATTATTTTTGTTTCTACTTCATAACTGTCATTTTGCTACTGCTATGAATTGGGCAACCCCTGTGAAAGGGTCATTCGGCCCCCAAAGGGGTGGTGACCCACAGGTTGAGAACTGCTGCTCTAGTTCTTTAATGTTTCTTCCCCCACCCCAACTATCATGACCCCAGTTCTACCTTACAAACCCTGCTCAACCAGAGCATGTACACTAGTACAGATAAGAGCTCTCAATACACAGAATCCAGGACAGACAAACCCCTCAGGAAGAATAATGAGAGTAGCGGTACCATGAGGGTAGGGGAAAGGTGTGGGGAGAAGGGGGAGAAAGGGGGAACTGATCACAATGATTGACATATAACAACCCCCCTGCGGGGGGGATGAACAACAGAAACTTGAGTGAAGGGAGACCGCTGATGGTGTAAGATATGAAAATAATAGTAATTTATAATTGATCAAGGGGTCACGAGAGTGAAAGTTTGGTGGAGAGAGGGGAAAAAAGAGGAGCAGATACCAAGGGCTCAAGTAGAAAGATAATGTTTTGAAAATGATGATGGTAACAAATGTACAAATGTGCTTGACACAAGGGATGGATGTATGGATTATGATAAGAGCTGTAAGAGCTCCTGATAAAATGATTTAAAAAATGATGATGGCAACTTATATACAAATGTGTATGATACAATTGATGTATGGATTGTTATAAGAGCTGGAAGAGCCCCCAATAAAATAATCATAAAAAATAACCAAACCAAGAAAAAGGGTCCAAAAGGCAGGTGGAGTCAAACTGCTGACCTTGTGATTAGCAACACAGCCTGTAACCCACTAGGCTACCAGGGCTGGGGCCCATGAAGGCTGGAGGGTCATAGCTCTGGTCTCTTTTATGAACTAGTTTCCAGGCCAAAGGAGGTACAGCAAGGAACCGTGGTATAAGTTGGAAAAGAAAATGGAATTACCTGTGAATGCCTCCTGCAGGGCATAAATTGGCTGGCTGGGAATGGGAGGCCTCTCTGCTCCCCACACCAGGTCTACAAGGTTGTTCGTGATGGACACTAGCGGTCTGTTCGAATTCTGAAGGGCCAGGTCATAACTTTCCCAGGAGTCTGCAGAGACAGGAAGGGGTGGTTTATGCTCAGCGCATTGATAGTGCCTGGAGACACGTGATTCAGGGAAAGTTCCTCCTGTCTGCTCAGTCTCTTGTTCCGGCTCTGGCAGCCCCCAGCAATCTCACCTTCCTGGAGTGCTTGCCCTGGCCTGGGGTGGGTCCTTCTGTCTTCCCAGGGCCCTCTTTTTGTTTGCAAAGCTAGTCGCTCTGAGCCTACCGCTTGATGTCCACAGCCAATTGGCAGAGCCTGGTGATGAACCATTCTTAACAGGGTTTCCATGTGAAGGTTGGGCTATTGGACAGGCTGGCAATGGAACCAGGTGTGAATATGTCTTTCAGGACATATGTGGGAGGACTCTACTTTAGGGGGCCTGATTTTGGCCATGGAGCCAGGAGCTGAGGGCTCAAGGAACTGGGAACCCTAGAGGGCTATCTTTCTTTTTCTCCTGACAGGTTCTCCCAAGTCCTTATAGCCTTCTCTTCTGGCTACCAGAAGAAGGCGAGCGTGTGTTTCAAGGACCATAACTGGCAGATGTCTAGGGTGCCAGAGTGGCTCTGAATTCAAGGATGTCCTGCCCTGAGGCTTCCAGGTTGGGTCTCTGCACTCAAGACTGAAGCATTGTATTCCTTGCTTTAAATACCTTTGAAGTAGGTAATCCATGAATACCTTCTTGTTGCAAAATCTATTCCCCCCTTACAGTCCCACGGCCTCGCTTCCACCACTGCCCAGTCGCTTTTCTCCCCAGGGTGGTCCTCACTGTCAGGGACAAATCCAACGATGGCGGGAAGAACCTACCTATTGAGAAGAGGAAGGGGTCAAAGCCCACACGCTGTCCAGCTGAAATCTCCGTGAGGAGCCAGGTGACAATGGGGGTGGTGCCAACTGTGAGAAAGACAAGAAGGAAGTCAGAGGCCACTTCCGGGCTGCCTCAGGTCCTCTAGCCTCTCATCCCCTCTGTGATGGTGCAGTCAAGTGTATCCTCTGGGATCTCAGCCTCCACATTTAGGGATAATCTCACATTTCTGGGGTTTTCCAGGAGGTCTTGCCTGCGTGTCTCGCCTCAACCTTCTGGCCCCTGTTTCTAGGTGCTCGCGCGTGGGGTGCCCATCTGCGTGGGCTGTCTACCTTCCTGATGGAGCTCCCAGTTGCAGTCCATCTGCCGTTCAGCCTGAGTCCAGTAGCGACTGTCGGTCCAGAGAGCTGCCTTTGCCAGGGTCACCACAGCGGTTCCTGGGGCAGAACAGAGAAGCTTGGAGGCGAAGGCGAAGGCAGGGAGACGCAAGGGGCTTCTGGGAAGAGCTGTGTGCCTCCACTGGAATGAAGCGAGGCAGATGTGAAAGAGGGCCTTGGGGGAAAGTGGGCCCAAGGGGTGTCCTAAATCAGGCACCACCTATGCTCCACAGGTGTGCAGAGGGCATCTGGAAGGGGTCGTTGGGAATTTTAGTAGGAAAAGAAGTGGGATTGGCTTTTGGCAGTCCCAAAGACCCATGCCACAGGCCACAGGTAGGTGCTCTCAGGGAAAATAACACTCGTGTGAAGACATGGTTGCCGAGAGGCTTAGTTGAGGACAGGTGGAGAAGTGAACCTAGCAATGTTGAATAAGAGATGAAGAGGCTATGATGGGCAGGTAGGGTACCTGGAAGCTCAGGGCAGGAATGTTTGAAACTCATCAAAAGGACTGGGGATGCTATTCAAGGCCCCAGGAGCAGGGCAAGCGACCCCTTCAAAAAGTGACCTCTGTTTGGGTTTCATTTGACAATACGAGGTGCTAGTGCTTGTACAAGGACCAGCCAAGTAAAACGTGGTCTCGTGGAGACTAGATGTGGAAACAGTAAATGTGCCAGAAGTGGAGGTCAGGGAGTGCTGGGGCAGAGCAAGGCCCTGAGCCCCGGCGAACAACTTGACTATCTGTCTCGGGTCTGTGTGCCCCAGGGGCAGTGGAGGGGAGGCAGAGAGAGAGAGTTGATGGAGCCTCTTGACACTGGGTTTTTGGGTCAGAGTCCCTGTCTCTAGTTCTCCCAACAAAAGCGCTGGGCGGTGTATAATCGCTGTCACCTGCTGATCCTGTAAAGCCTGTCATCCACGCGCGCCTCTCATCATGTTTGCCGATGTATTCGCTCTAGGAAATCAGCAATGTCATCGTTAGCCTATTGTGTGGCATTTCATCCCACGTGAAACATTCCCAGGCACATTCTAGTTCTTCTGTCTGGTCGGACCCAACCACCCTACAAGCCCAAGCACACTTGGCACCTCTTCCAGGAAGCCCTCGGTAGCTCCCCGATGCTCCCAGTAGCTCCCCTAACTTTTACCACCTGGCTTTCTCAGAGCCTAAAGCCCATAGGGCAGCAGTGGACTCAGTTTTACACTGGATTGTCCTGGAAAGTCTTGTGGTCTGAGACAGAAAGCTCGTCCTATGGAGTCTGGGTTTTATTTGGGGGGCTCTGCTTCAAGTTGTCTGGCCCGCTCCTGCGTCACACATAGAGTTTACAGGGGGCTTTCTTTCTACATTGTCCTTGGAGACCCTATTTTTCAGAAGAAGAAGCTGAGGCTCAGACCTTTACCCAAGGTTCTTCGTCTTTCCTAGCAAAGTGGGAAGCGATTCAAGCGATCTTACTCAACCTGAAAATGTCTTCACTTCTCACTGGGCTGGTATTGTTGGGGAGGTGAGTGGGGTGGAAGTGAACCAGGTGGTGGGGAAGGGTGGGCTGTATGGGTGGGGGGAGGGCTGCTTTGGGAAAAGCTAGTTCTTGTTCAGGCCTCCTTGTTTCCTGTCTGCCTCCACCCCCATTCTTCACCTACACCCCCAAGCTCATACAATCTAGAAGCTCAGGTAGTCTTAACGGCCAAACCTTGCGGCCCTTGGCAAAGCAGAGTACCTGAAGACCTGGAAGATTTCTAGGGCTCTTAGAATTTAGAGTTCTTTTGACTAAATCCCTAGCCCACATTCCAATGTCCTGGGGGCAGGGAAGGCCCTTCTGTTCCAGGCCTGCCTGGCACCTAGCAGCGGACAGAAATGGATCTGGAGGTGGTCTATCACTTCTTTTCTGGAGGTCAAGAAGATCTGGCAATGGGTTCCCTCAAACTACCACTGGATCAGAACTCCCCTCTGTACCGCCCCCACCCCCACCCCCCTCCCCACCCCCCAGTCAGCCGATGCTTTCTCTGACTTCATCTTCAGAGTCCTAGCAGCCTCCTCTTGATGGCTCAGCTGGGGTCGTGGGGAGGGCAGAGCTAAGGAGAGAGGAGCTGTCCCTCACCATGTGGGCATCCGTGTCTGGGACGATGTAAGCGGAGAGGTTCTGGGCCTGCATCTGCTGGCGGAGGGCTGTGAGGCGCGCGGTGGTATTGACTGCTGTAACCGGGAGGTACTAACAGATGACAGGAAGACACCATGACACACATACACACACACACTGCTTAGAGAAAAAATGACACCTGGGTCCCCAGCCTCTCCTGAGGCAGTGGGTGGGCTGTGAGTAGTTAGGCAGGCCTGACGGGGCTAGGGAAGCCCTGGTGGCACAGTGGTTAAAACTCTTGGTTGTTAGCCCAAAGGTCAGTTGGTTTAAAGCCACTAGCCACTCCTGGGAGGAAGATGTGGCCATAGAGGCTGTCTGTTTACATACAGATTTACAGCCTCAGAAACTCTAGGGAGTGGTTAGTTCTACTCTGTCCTCCAAGGTCATGAGGAGTCTGAATCGATTTGATAGCAGCAAGTGAGAGTTTACTACTGGTGGCACAGTAGGTTGAACGCACAGTTGAGGCAATCTGCTTCCATACAGATTTATAGTCTCCGAAACCCAAGGGAGCAGTTTGATTCTGTCCTATAGACTGAATCAGAATCAATGACTGTGGGATTGGGAAGATGCCTAGGTTAAGTGAGGTGCTGAAGAACTGGGAGAGGCACCTTGTGTATCAATGGGCCCTGAATCTGGGTGATGGCTGCAGGGACCTGAACTCTGGCCCTGGGTCAGGCCAGGCGGCCCAGGATAGTCCCTCTTTAGCGACACGTGGCAGACTTAACAACTGAAAACAGAGAATGCCCCAATATATAAAAACTTCAGTTAAACAACAAGAAATGTTTCCATATGCCGTATGCAATATTTGGGACACGCTCACGCTAAAACATCCTTCACTGTGCATCTGAAGTATAAAATGTATCCGTAGCTTATGGCATAGTGGTTACGAGTTGGGCTGCTAACTGCCAGGTTAGCAGCTCAAAACCACCAGGTGCTCCTCGGGAGAAAGACAGGAGGCCATTCTGTTCCTGCAGAGTTAGTCTCGGAAACTCACAGGGGCAGTTCTACCCTGTCCTAGAGAGGCACTGTGCAGTGCAGTCAACCTGATGGCACGGAGTTTGGGGTTTCTCTCATCGTATCTAGCAATCCTACCTTGGGGGCTTTTCCATTTTCCACTCACCTAGAGCAGTTGGGGACATCGTCCAAAAAGATTCCCTGTCAACCAAACATTTCTCTCTGCCAGCTGGAATTTCTTTCAAATGAAGGTTTGCCCTTGGTTTGGTTTGGTTTGGGTTTTGCCTTCTATTCAAGTCTACTAAACTCCCCGAGCCATCGATGCATTGCCACTTCATCAGAGTGACCCTCTAGGACTGGGGAGAAGTACCCCTGGGGATTGCCGAGACTGTAACTCGTTACAGGCATAGGAAACCTCCTCTTTCTCCCACAGAGCAGCTGGTGCTTTCAAACTGCTGACTTTATGGTTCATGGCCCTGCAAGTAACCCAGTAGACAAGGGGCCTTCAAAAAGTTCATGGAAAAATTCTATCATCATTACATTCCATTTTCCCCACAAACGTGTTGAAGCTTCCGCACAGACACGTGCATTTTTAAATACGTAAGCAGTGTGGTTTGCTCACCCACCTGCCTATCCCAGTTGTCCCATAAAGTTGACTTTACAAGCGGATGCACCATTTCTGTCCATTGGCTTTGTGCCCACTGCCTCACACCTCCTGGCCCACCCCAGTCAAAAGGTCTTTTCGCCCTCCTCTGGTTGGAGAAGGGAGCCCTGGTGGGGCAAGCGATGAAGTGCTTGGATGCTAACCTAAAGGCTGGCAGATCGAACCCACCCAGTAGCTCCGTGATCTGTTAGACTGAGTGATAAGTGATCTGCTTCCATAAAAGATTATAGCCAAGAAAACCCCATGGGACAGCTCGCCTCAGGTGGCCCGAGGCCGCTGTCAGTTGAAAACCATTGAATGGTTCCTAACAACTAGTTAGGAAAGGTGCCCTAGCGGTGTAGTGGTTATGCACTGGGTTGCCAACCTCGAGATTAGCAGTTCGAGCCCGCTGGCCTGCTCTGCAGGAGGAAGAGGAGGTATTTCTATTCCATAAAGAGTTACAGTCTGGGAAATTCACAGGGACAGTTCTGTAATTCTAAGACTGTTTGTTTGTTTCTTTATAACAACTGGTATGGGTTTCACTGAGTCTCCAGCTGAGAATCTGTTGTGTTCTGTCCCCTTGACTCTTTTGGTCCTCCTCTGTCTCCCTCCCTCCACCCTTCAGTGCCCCCCTCCTCTCTACCCCCCTCTAGGTTTCTCTAGGATTTTTGTTTTTGTCCCATCCTGGCCATAGCCTCAGGCAAAGGGCAGCCAGGGGCCTCCCCACCTCTTCCCACTCTCCTCCTTCCCCTCAGCCAGGCTGGGACAGCAGGAAGTGGATAGCCCACTTGGTAATGGGTGGGAGGGGAGGTGCAGGCATGGAGGAGGGGGGTAGGGAGGGAGGGGAGGATGTTAGAAAGACACCTGAGAAGGTTTGCCAGCCTGGAGGGGGGCTATTCATGTTACTCTGAAACAGGGGCCCCTCCCCCAGGCCGGAAATCTCTAGAAAAGGCTGTGAGAGCCAGAGGTTAGCAATGGGGGGTGAGGGTGGGGTGGGGTGGGGGGGTGGGGGGTGGGGAGGAGGCTGCGAGGCAGGGGGTGACTGGTTCAGGGTGGAGCCAGAGCCTCACCGGGGGGCTAATGGAGCAGTTTCTCACGTCCTCTCTTCCCAGGTCAGCTGGCCTTGGGTAGCCCCAGGCACAAGCTAGAAACAAGGAGAACAACGGGATCACTAGGACACCAACTCCTGCCCCCCTTCCCCACAGTCCCCCTCCGCCCCTGTCCTCCATCCTCTGAAAAGCACACCACTTGGCCCAACTCTGCAGGATGGTAAAAATAATCACATTTCATAGGAAATCAGGCTGAATTGGATGGCACGCTGGGTCACAGTCAAAGAAACCTGCTTCATCAACTGGTGATTGTCACTTTGGGATGGGTTTTAGTGCTCATTAAATCCTTTTTTAATTTTCTTCTAATCTAATTGGGTCTTTTCAGGGTCTACCAAACTGGAAAAATTGTGTGTAAATGAAATTTGGGTAATCAAATTTTCTTTGAGACGCTCTAGAGGGTCTCGCTTACTCATCAGCCCCCACCGTCGTTTTAGCCTTTCATAAATCACATTTTGTATATATTGGCTTTGCTTCAATCCGAGACCCACTTGTACCATTTCTTACAAGTCAAGTCTCAGCTTATTGCAGCGTGTTCATTTGAAACATACAAAGCACGCGAGCCCAGTCTGACATGGGTGCTTTGTGAGGAAAGGTGAACTTAGCATTTCAAGTGATGAGTTGGCATGACTCCACAGCAAAGAGGCATTTGTTCTTTTCATAGACCTTCCATGTGGGTGACCTGGCATTGAGGCTTGGCCAATACACCTCGTGCGTTTCTATGACACAGCAGGTTTTCGGTGATGCTTCCAGACTAACCTGCTAAGAGTAGGAAGAAAGGACTGGCAATTTACTACTGAAAAGCCTGTGGCTCACAATGGTGAGATCTCTAATCAATCTTGGGGACAGGGTAGGCTGAGGCAGCATTTTGCTCTAGGGTCTGTGGGGTGGGGGTCCACTCAGCGGCAGCTGTACACCAGACATGGATCTTGGCCGTTTCGGCAGAGAATCTCAGTTGATTCTTACAACAACCTCACAAGGTGGGCCTTATTGTTCGCTTTCTACAGAGGGGGAAACTGAGGCCCAGCTAGTTTGCCTAACTTGGTCAAGCTCTGACCCAGTGAGTCAGTGGCCGAAAAGGGACTGAACCCAGACCGGAACACAAAAGAAGGGAGTACCTTTTCCACTCCCGACCCCTGCCCACTCTAGGAGATGGTCCCAGGAAGGTGAGGGCACCGCAAAAGAGGCAGAAGAGTGTTTGGGCATCCAGGTCCCAATTTGAGTCTTGCCTCAAATTTGCGGTAACCCGAGCGGACCAAACAAGCACCCTCATTGCCATTGAGTTGATTCCGACTCCACAGGGCAAGGTAGAATCGCTCCACGGGGTTTCCAAGGCTGCAGATCTTTCTGGAACTAGAATGCCACACCTTCCTCCTGCTGAGTGCTTGGTGAGTTCCAACCACTGCGCTTTCTACTAGCAGACAGGCGAGTGCTTAACCACTGCACCACCAGGGTGCCTGGCCCAAGGAGAGTCACCCCACATGCGTGGAGTGAACATTTTCTAAGTGCCTATGTGCTAGATACTGGCTTAAGTGAGAGTGTTGAACTGGATAAAGTCCCTTCCTGATCTGAAAGTCTAAGCTCTTTGATATAGCCTATTCCACCTCCCTGCGCACCCTCTGCCTTTTCAGGAGGATTTCCTCAGAGGGTAATGGGGGAATGGAGATGAGGAGATCCTATATGGACTTTGGCCTTCCCAGTGGGCCCGAACAACAGAGGGAAGGAAGGTGCCTGGAGTCTCAGTAGCATCACCCAACGGGAGCGACGAGACCCCTGCTGCCCATGTAAGAAAACAAATTAGCCATCTCTGTAGGAAATAATCTCTGGGAAAATGATGGCACTAAGATGCCAACATAAGAAGCAGAACCCAGCCAAGTGGGCACAGCCAATACACGTCCTCTGGACACCGTGCATGGGCACTAGGAACCGAGTACTCCAGGAGTGAGCAGTCAAGGGAATAGAGGCCTCCCTAAGGCCAGGGATTGGTGGGTCTTGTGACCAAAGAGGACAAACAGAGCACTATTTGGAAGGTGGGGGGGGAGGCAGGGGGGATGGGAAGGTACCAAGCCAGACTTGATCCAAGTCATCAGGGTCCCAACGACATGACCCTGGAGTGCCCCATCTTCAAGACAGGGGCAGCATGAGGAAGAGAGACAACCTGGACCCCAGCCCTCACTCTAATCCTTCCTGAGGGGAGAGGCCAGAGTGCACCCCACCTGGGCCTGCCCTCCCCGGGGTGGACGGGAGAGGCAGGGACTGACATACCGCAGAGGAAGACAAGATAGGGGCAGCAGCCCCAACGAGCCCGAGCCATGGGGTCTCCAGATGCAGGCGCCAGTGGACGGAGGGACTTGCGGGGAGTGGGCAGGGCTGGCTGGGAAGGAGGTGTCCAGCTGGTGGATGGAGCGTCCCCCTCAGGTCCTTTGTTTCTGAAGGCTCTCAGTCAGGGCCGGCAGATGGGCTTCGGACCGCCCCAGGTTGCCAGAACAGGGCGTGAGCCCGTCCAGGGCAGAGTCCAAAGATCTCCAAGACAGGAAAAAGAGCACCGGCTGGTCTCAATCAGCCTGCTTGTCCAGCCCCCTCTCCAGCAGCCGGGCCCCAGCCATTCCTGAATGTTGGCCCCCTCCCTCCAGCAAGCTGTTTCCCATTAGCTCTCCCACCCTGGGCTAAGCTCTGGCTTCAGCCCTGCTGGGCCTCGGGGTGGCGGCGAAGGCTCCTCCTTCTCCTCTGAGCCGCCCATCTCTGGAAAAGCTGCTGTTTATCTGTCTCCTTAGGGCCTGAGAAGCAGCAGCGCGGCCCTGGCCCTGGGAGAACGTGGTCCGAACCAGAGACTTTGAACTTCAGGAGCTGGACTGAGGCCCCTCAGGAAAGGCCACTTTGTCAAAGTTGCCAGTCACTGGTAGTGGGCAAGGCTGCCCTTCCCGCAGAGTTGGGGGGTCCCACTCAGCAGCAGTCTGAACTCCGGGCAACCCAGGCTGTCACTCCAGAGAGGGAATACAGGCCTGGTGAGCCTTTTGGCGACATGGAGGGATGTCACTGATGAGGGAAGAAGACCCAGCAAGAGAATGTGGACCAATTTGGTTAACTGAGAATCCCCTGGAGCCCTGGTGGTGTAGCAGGTTAAGTGTTAGGCTATTCACCACGTGGTTGGCAGTTCAAACCCTCCAGCTCCCTCCATGGGAGAAAGAAGAGGCTTTCCTTTCCTATAAAGAGTTAGAGCTGCAGAAACTCAAAGGAGCAGTTCTACTATAGGGTGACTCTGAATCGGTACTGATTCCAGGACAGTGACTTTTGTATTTGGGTATTGGGAATGTCATAAGGAACCCTGGTGACGCAGTGGTTAGAGTGCTCGGGGGTTAGAATTCGCCAGTGGCTACTGGTGAGAAAGAGGCAGCGATCTGTCTCCGCCAAGCTGCACAAGCTTGGAACATTTCGTGGGCAGTTCTCTGCTCTAAAGGGCAGCTGGGGGTTCGGGCTATGCCCTCACTGCTGTAACTTTCCAGACTCCAGTTTTCAGTGTGGGCCACTCCTTAACCAGGAGGAGTGGGACTGGCTCCCCCGCCCCCTTCATCGAAGGGCAGTCTACTAAATGCCCTCGAGGACCCTCAGCCCTTGGAGTCAGACAGGCTACATCTTGGAGAGAAATGCTCCCCAGAGACACAAATCCAGTAAAGGAGACTCACCTACCCTGGATTGTCCCCAAGGCAAATCATCCACCCCCTTTGATTTTCTGTGTAATACATTTACATTCCATTTAGTGGTTATGCTAAGGGCAAGGTCAGCAGTTCGAAACACCCCACTGTTCCGAGGGAGTAAGAGGAGGCTTTCCGCTCCTGTAGAGTTCCAGTCTCAGAAACCCACTGGGGCAGCTCTACCCTGGCCTTTAGGGTCACTATGAGTCAGCATGGACTAGATGGCAGTGAGCTTATTTTTCTCGTTTTGTCTCCAACAAGTTTGAGGCCGCTTGCAACAATCCATCCTAATGCGATCAAGTGTTGTTGTTAGGTGCCATCAAGTAGGTTCAGACCCATAGTGACCCTAAGTACAACAGAATGGAACCTCGCCCGGCCCTGCGCCATCCACACAATTGTTCCTGTGCCTGAGCCCATGGTTGCAGCCGCTGTGTCCATCCATCTCATTGAGGGCCTTCCTCTTCTTCATGGCCCCTCCACTCCACCAAGCAGGATGTCCTTGTCCAGAGACTGGTTTTTCCTGACATGTTCAAAGGGTGTCAGATAAAATGGACCATTTTAAAGAGGCGCAGTTGATTCGGACTCCTTCCTCGTGGCCACATGTTTCAGCGCAGAGCTGCGCTTCGTGGGGTTTTCAACAGATTCCACCTGTTGGCGTTCGATCACCAGGTCTTCCTTCCACAGTATTACTGGCAGGGTTTGAATGAATACAGTCGGAGGGAGAGAGGACTGCATCAGCTTCCTCCTAGAGCTGCCATGTGAGTGACCACCACCCGGGTGACTTATAACAACAGCAAGTTATTGTCTCACAGCTCTGGAGGCTGGAAGTCAAAGTTGAGGTGCTTCCAGGGCATCGTTAGGAGGCAGCCAGCATGCCCCTGGTGTTCCTTGGCTTGTGGCTGCTTCACCACAACCTCTGCCTCTGTCTTCACCTGACCTTCTTCCTCTGGGTATCTGTCTCACCACATGATCTTTTTATAAGGCCACCAGTCATTGGATTTAGGGCCCACCCTACTCAAGTATGACCTTGTCTTAATTCATCAGATCCCCAGAGACCCTATTTCCAAATATGATCACATTATGAGGTTCTGGGTGAGCCTGATTTGGGTGGAGAGCATGGGAGACCCTGTCTAACCAAGTACAGCAGCCTTCATACCCTTCCTTGCTGTATGAAGACCTTGATTTTGAGATAAGGAGATAAGGGAAGAGCTGGGAAGGATGGCAGATGAGGCTATCTTCGCCACCAGGGCTCAGAGCCAGAGGACTGAAAGCTGGGTGGAGCCTTGATAAACTCAGGCCATCTCAGAGCAAAGTCCAGAAGCTGGAGGGGAGGATGGGAATGGGGTGGATGGCTTGCTGCATTTTGGGAAGGGGTAGGAGAAGAATAAGAATAAGCAAAGAAGTCCCATCACGTCACCTTTAGGAATACTAGTGCTATGCGTTGTCTTGCCTCTTCAACACACACCCTAAAACTACCAACCAGAATAAAGAACGAAAACTCACTGCCATGAGTCGATGGTGAATCATAGCGGCCCTCTCAGATAGTGGTTCTCAACCTTCCTAATGCCTTGACCCTTTAATACAGTTCCTCATGTTGTGATGACCGCCCCCCCCCACTATAAAATTATTTTCGTTGCTACTTCATCACTGCCATTTTGCTACTGTTATAAATCAGGCGACCCCTGTGAAAGGGTCGTTCAACCCCCAAAGGGGCTGCGACCCACAGGTTGAGAACCGCTGCTCTAGGACAAGGTCCAACTGCTTCTGTGGGTTTCCAAGATTGGAACTCTTTATAGGAGTTGTTGTCGTTTGGTGCCGTCAAGTTGGTTCGGACTCCTAGCGACTCAGAGCACAACAGAAGGGAACATTGCCTGGTCCCGCAACACCCACACAATTGTTCCTATGCTTGAGCCCATCTTGGCAGCCAGTGTCTAGCCATCTTGGCCATCCTCTTTTTCCCTGCCCCTCCACCTTACCAAGCATGATGTCCTTCTCCAGGGACTGGTCTCTCCTGACAACATGTCCAAAGAAGGTGAGATGAAGTCTCGCCCCCCTTGCCTCTAAGGAGCACTCCGGCCTTACTTCTTCCAACTCGAAAGCCCTAACTCCTCGACCTCTGGTTCTGTTCATGAGACAGCAGTCGTGTGGGGCATGCTTTCAGTGCATCTCTTTTGAGATCTAAAGGAGATCCCATTTCACATTTAATTCGAGGAGAACCTTTATGAAGTCTTAATAGAGACCAAGACAACACAGAGCCACAGAGCCTTCATCCAGATGAGGAGGCCTCCACGTGAGATTAAAATGGTGCCTGAGGGTTCACAACTGGGAAGCAAGATAAAAAGGCATGGTGGGGGGGGGTGTCAAAGGAAACTGTCACACATTCATGATCGGTGGCAGATCAATACATCACAGTTCTAAGTGGGACTACAAGAACAGGAATGGGACCATGCTTGGGACACGTACATTGTTAGATAGAAGGATTTATAACATTGGTCCAGGCCCTTCAGACCAAGGCAATCAGGACCCGACTGAAAAGACCTGGCTCATGACTGTGGAATCCCCGTGCTGTCCCCAGTATGGTGACCTCCATCTTGGACATGCCGAGAGAAGCCCCTAAAAGAGAGGCTGTCCCTCCTTGAGCTGGACTGAGAGGGCAAGGTCATGTACACCCTTGGTTAGTGATCCAAAAGCATTCAATGGAGCCTTCATCTATGTGGGGACCCTACAAAGGGATTTGGGGCTGTCGCGGCCATCCATAGCCTTTTGCAAACCAAGGTGCTCAGCATTTAAGCTTGAATCCAAGCGTCAGCCAAGATAGGGCAAAGAGAATGGCCCAGCCCCACCGAGAAGTTCCAAAGAGATGAGACGAGGGCCTAGCTCTGGAGTTGTCACGGAGAGACAACCAAACCTGCAGTTAGGACTGCCAGCCTCCCAAACAGAGAGAAGGAACGTGTCTGTCGATTAAAACCAGGTGTGGTTCTGCCATAGCGGCACTAGGTAACTAAGACCATGGATTCAGAGACCAGATGCGGGACAAGGACTCTAAGAATGCTATGTGGTTTTGACCTGTGTCCCCTGATGCACCCACAATTTTCGCTGCTCCCCCCAACCCGCCATCCTGAAGGGCATGCCCCGCCTTCACTAGAAGCCCTGATTTAGGCACCAAACTACCAAACCACCATCTCAGCTCTGTCCCCCATTAGCTGCATTGTCTTAGGCAAGTGACTCCAACCCTCTGTCCCTCTGTTTTTTCAGCAATGAAAAACAACACACAACAACAACAAACCTCACTGCTATCGAGTTATAGTGACCCTATAGGACAGGGTAGAACTGCCCCTGTTGAATTTCCAAGACTGTAACTCTTGACGGGAGTAGAAAGCCCCATGTTTCTCCTGTGGAGCACCTGGTGGTTTCAAACTGCTGACCTTGCTATTAGCAACCCAATGCAAAACCACTATGCCCCCAGGGCTCTTCACCCAGGAAGTGGGTGTCATAGTGCTGACTTCTTAGTGGAATATGAGGGCCCAGTGGGTTCAGGTGTGTGAAGCTCTCAGCACCTGCCTGGCATGTACATATTTGTTATGTGAGTGGATGTGAAAGTGCATACCTCACTAGAACAGAAGCCAGAAAAGTAAAGCAGAGTCCCATGAACCCAAGGTCAGTGGGAACATGGCAGGGCACTATTATACCTTATTCCTTCGGCCCCTGGCACCCCACACTGCTGAAGTGGCAGTTTAGATCAGCTGAGTCAAAGTACCAACCTCAGAA